TTTTTTTTCTTCTCTGCTGTTGTTTCGGTGCACTAATTTTATTGGCGGGAATATTGGATTGGGAAAGTAAGGCAGCTGGTTGGAAGGGAACTCTCTAGTTTAACCCCTCGGCTGCTGGGAGGGAGGCAGGTCATATTTACTGGCGTTCCTTCGCTCTGTTTGTGGGCAGCTGGGACAGACGGCACAGGCACATGGAATGTGACCTCAGAAGTGTGGGTGGACAGAGTCCTGGACCGGGAGCCCAGTCAGCTCGCCATTCATTCTCTGTGACCCTGAACCAGCCCTCCTTAATCCTCAGTTTCTTCTTCCCTAAAGTGTGGGCAGAGGGATGGACAGGATCAGCCTGGCAAGCTCCAGGGCTTTCAGGGCCAAGGCAGATGTTGTAAACCCATGAAGTGGGCCTGGGAGGTGCTGTTGCAGAACTGGAGTCATTCAGATTCAGAATTTTTCTTTTCTTTCTTTTTTTTTTTTTTTTTCTTCAAGACAGAGTTTCACTCTTGTTACCCAGGCTGGAGTGCAATGGTGCGATCTTGGCTCACTGCAACCTCCACCTCCCGGGTTCAAGCCATTCTCCTGCCTCAGCCTCCCAAGTATCTGGGATTACAGGTGTGCACGACCACGCCTGGCTAATTTTGTATTTTTTTAGTAGAGACAGGGTTTCACCATGTTAGTCAGGCTGGTCTCGAACTCCTGACCTCAAGTGATCCACCCGCCCCGGCCTCCCAAAGTGCTGGGATTACAGGCTTGAGCCACCGCGCCCAGCCCCACAATACATTTTAAAGAAACTAAATAGCCGGGCACGGTGGCGCCTGCCTGTAGTACCAGCTACTCAGCATCTTTGTCTCAGGTCAAGATACTGTCACACACTTAGATGATGCCTACTGTGTGCCAGGCATTGGTCTCAGTGCTTTACATGTATTAATTCATTTCATTCTCACAACCACCTGATGAGGTGGGTAACTGAGAGAAGGTGGTGGTGGTATCTCAAATTCACAAATGGGAACAATGGAGAAAAAGGAATTCTGAGCCACCCCACGGATGGCTGACCAGACCAAGAATAAGGATGGTGCGTTTAATATTTATCCTAGATAGGGCCCTGGAGGGGCATGGAGGCAAGAGACGTCAGCTAAAGGAGCCGTCCACACATTCTAACTTACTTTGCCTGGTATAATCACTCAGGACACGGTGAAAGAGACACTGTCCTCAGATAAGGTATTCATTCAGGCCAGCCTCAGTGATTCATGCCTACAATCCCAGCACTTTGGGAGGCTGAGGCAGGTGAATTACTTAAGCCCAAGAGTTCTGGACCAGGCTGGGCAACACAGGGAGACCCCATCTCTACAAAAAAATTTTAAATTAGCTGGGTGTGGTAGAGTGTGCCTATAGTCCCAGCTGGTTGGGAGGATCACTTGAGCCCAGAAGGTGAAGGCTGCAGTGAGCCGTGATCTTGCCACTTCACTTCAGGGAGGGCGATAGAGTGAGAACCTGTCTCAAAAAAAAAAAAAAAAAAAAAGGAATATTCACTCAGAGGGGGCCGAACACAATGGCTCATGCCTGTAATCCCAGCACTTTGTGTTTTGTTGTTTTTGTTTTTGTTTTTTTGAGGTGGAGTCTCACTCCGTCGCCCAGGCCGGAAGGCAGTGGTGTGATCTTGGCTCACTGCAACCTTCACCTCCTGAGTTCAAGCTATTTTCTTGCCTCAGCCTCCTGAGTAGCCGGGACTATAGATGCGCACCCCCACGCCCAGCCAATTTTTGTATTTTTAATAGAGACATGGTTTCACTATGTTGGCCAGGATTGTCTCAATGTTGACCTCGTGATCCACCCGCCTCGGCCCCCAAAAGTGCTGGGATTATAGGCCTGAGCCACCACTCCTGGCTTATTACTGTTTTTGAGAAAGGGTCTCACTCTATTGCCCAGGCTGGAGTGCACTGATGCAATCTCAGCTCACTGCAACCTCTATCTCCTGGGCTCAAGCAATCATCCCACCCCATCCTCTCAAGTAGCTGAGACTACAGGTGCACATGACCATATCCGGCCTTTTTATAGATGTAAGGTTTCACCATGTTGCCCAGGCTGGTCTTGAACTCCCAGGCTCAAGCAATCCTCCTGCCTCGGCCTCTCAAAGTGCTGGGATTACAGACATGAGCACCTGGTTTGTAATTCCAGCACTTTGGGAGGCCAAGGCTGGAGGACCACTTGAAGCCAGGAGTTTGAGACCAGCCTGGGCAACACAGTAAAGTTCCATATCTAAAAAATAAAAAATTTAGCCAGGTGCGATGGCACATGCCCATAATCCTAGCTCCTTGGGAACCTGGGGCAGGAGGATAACTTGAGCCCCTGAGTTTGAGGCTGCAGTGAGCTATGATTGCATTGTTGCATTCTGAAGCCCTGTCTCTTTAAAAGAAAAAAAAAAAAGTCTTCCGTACTTTGCTTTTAATTGTGATAAATGTACATAACATAAAATGTTGCATCTTAAAGTATACAGTTACATTTTAAATGTACAGTTCAATGGCATTAAGCACATTCATACGTTCACATTGTTGTACAACCATAGCCATCTGTCTCCAGAACTCTTTTCATCTTGCAAAACTGAAACTCTGTACCCACTAAATAATGACTCCCCACCCACTCCTCCCTCCAGCCCCTAGCAACCACGATTCTGCTGTCTGTCTCCATGAATTTAATTACTCTAGGTACCTCATACAAGTGTGATCACACAATATTTAGCTTTTTGTGATTGCCTTATTTCACTTAGCATAAGGTCCTCCAGGTTTATTCATGCTGTAACATGGGTCAGAATTCCCTCCCTTTTTCAGGCTGAATTGTATTCCATTGTATATATGTATCAGCAGATGACATTATCCTGCCATCTGCTTCTTAGCTTGGAATATGTCAGCAGGTGATTAGACTTTCCACCTGCAAAGGGAAGGCAGTGGCTCACCTCACCTTCTGTGAAGAAGGGGTTGCTGGTCAGTGATGAAGAGTTGGGGGAAGGGAGGAGGTGGACAAGAAACCAGATGTGCGGACATATATATGTATATTTCATTTATCCATCCACCCATCCATGGACACTGGGGTGGCTTCCACCTCTTGCCTATGATGAATAACGCTGCTGTGAACATACGTATCACGTTTTTTTTTTTTGTTTTTTTTTTTTTTTTTTTTTTGAGACTGAGTCTGGCTCAAGTGATCCACCCACATCAGCCTCCCAAAGTGGTGGGGTTACAGGTGTGAGCCACCATGCCCAGCCGTGTATCACTTTTAAGGGAGAATTCAAATCCATGGAGGGGACATTATAGGGAAGGAAAACCTGGCAAACAACAGCAGGAAGAACTGTTCAGGGGTGAGAGCCCTTCCTGGGGCTCCTCAGGAGGCAGGAAGTACCCTGTCTTGGGGGCTGGAGGGCCATCTTGTTGGCTCCTTGGCAGTGGGTGTCCGCCTTTGGGAAGAGATGTCCCACTGGGTGATTCCCAAGTTTCTTCCCTTCCTTGGGTTTCAAATTGGAGAGGGGCTGTGGTGCCCACCATCAGCTAACTGAGCCAGCTCAGACTGGGTCACTAGGTCCAGGGGAGGGCACCGACTCCTGTTTTGTTCCTTGTCTCCTGGCAAGGCCCCTCTGTGGGCAGACACCAGCAGATGACAGAAACATCCTGCCATCTGCTTCCTAGCACGGAACATGTCAGCAAGAGAAGATAGACTTTCCACCTAAAGCAGGGCCACGGGTGGCCCACACCTCATGTTCTGTGACGAAGGGGTTGCTGGTCAGTGAGGAAGGGTGGGGAAAAGGGGAGGTGGGCAAGAACTGAAGGCTGTGAGGATTTCCCCCTCTTTGGCATCTGCTCTGTGTCCTGCTTGCCTGACTGAAGCTTTCATAGATGTTATTGTCCGTGCCAGTGTTCAGGGCCTCTGTAAAGTTTCACAGACATTCCTGCAATCTCGAAGATGTGCCAGACATGCCCCCTGAGCTGGGCCTGGGCCAGGCAGCAAAGGCAGATTGGGTGGGTGAGAGGGAATCAAAGTCCCCTGGCTGTGCCCTCCTTCCCTGGGGCCGATGTGTTCCAGGAAGATTCTGGGCTCATTTCTGTGCATGGACACCTTTGTATAAATGGAATAGTGCTTTGAATGCACTGCAGGAGTGCCTCTCAAAGGAACCCTGTGGCGAAGTCTTTTGTAAAGTGAAAAGTCCTTTTGTAGGGTGAATAATTGTACTGTTTATCTGCTTTGGAGGTTCCGAGTTCTCTGAGATTCTCAGGGGAGAGAGGGAGTTGTTTGAAGGCCACCTGGCCCACCTCCTCTCTAGCACCCACTTCTCCTCTGGAGCATCCTCTCCAGTGATGTGAAACCCCTGATGGTGGGAAACTCACAACCCCTGCAAGATGGATCATTCTATCTCTGGAGAGTTCTGCTTATTAGAAATGGAAACTTACTCTGAGCTAAAAAGTCCCTCTCTGTAGTTTTCATCCATTGCAAGTCTTCTGCTTGCAGGTTACCCTGAATTGAATGTGCCCTTTCCTTGTGTTGACTCATTTGATATTTGACAACAATGAACTTGACCCCTGAGTCTTCTCTTCTTTGAGCTAAAAGATCCTGGCTTCCCCATTCATCCTTCATTTGTGGGATTTGGGGCTCTTTTATCATCCTGGTGGCTCTGCTTTGACTTTGCTTGGTTGGCTGTCCTGCTTCCTTTGCAACCATGGAGCCCAGCAATGAATGCAGCTCTCAGATGTTCTCTGTCTGTTTGGATTAGATGGCATCTCCTTTTCCTAGATCTGGAGTCTCTTCCTATGTTAGTCCAGCTCAAGAGCTTTTATGACTGAAGTAAACTTGCTGGTGCCTAAAAATCTCAGCCATGTGGTGTGTTCTGCTACTAAGCCACAACCCTCTCATTCAGGACCTCATAGATACCATTATTTTAATATCAGATTTTCTCAAGCAAGACACACCGGCAGAGGAGTGGTCTAATCTGAAACTGACCGAACTCTCTCCTTTTTCCCTAGAACTGGTCAGGCATGAAGTGTCAGTTCAAGCTGCTGCGGATGGCTGTGGCCCTGATCTGTAGTAAGTACTGATGGGGCAGCTAGGGGATGAAAGCCTGGCGCTAGGCTGTGGGGTTCAAAGATGGCACAGTCCCTGCCCTTTGTGGGTGGGCTTGTGGTCAAGAAAAAAAAAGTGGGACATGTCAATAATGTGCAAAAAAAATAAGGCTGTTGTGAGAGCTGTCTGTCCTGCTTTGTAACATTCATCTTTTATTTATCTTTTTTTTTTTTTTTTGAGACTGAGTCTTGTTCTATTGCCAGGCTGGAGTACAATGGCACGATCTTGGCTCACTGCAACCTCCGCCTCCAGGGTTCAAGCGATTCTCCTGCCTCAGCCTCCTGAGTAGCTGGGACTACAGGTGCTCACCACCATGCCCAGCTAATTTTTTGTGTTTTTTTTTAGTAGAGATGGGGTTTCACCATGTTGGCCAGGATGGTCTCGATCTCTTGACTTCATGATCCATCCACCTCGGCCTCCCAAAGTGCTGGGATTACAGGCATGAGCCACCGTGCCCGGCCTTATTTATCTATTTTTTAAAAATTTATATATATATGGCTGGGCGCAGTGGCTCACGCCTATAATCCTAGCACTTTGGGAGGCTGAGGTGGGTGGATCACCTGAGGTCAGGAGTTCAAGACCAACCTGGCCATCATGGTGAAACTCCATCCTAGAAAAACAAAAACATTTATATATATATATATTTTTTTTTTTTTTCTCTTTCTTTCTTTTTTTTTTTTTTTTGAGACAGGATGTCTCACTCTGTCATCCAGGCTGTAATGCAGTGGCACAATCATAGCTGACTGCAGCATCAAACTCCTGCCTGGGCTGAAGTGATCCTCCCTCCTCAGCCTCCCAAGTAGCCAAGACTATACATGTGTGGCACCATGCCTGGCTATTTAAAATTGTTTGCAGAGACAGGGGTCTTGCCATGTTGCCTAGGCTGGTGTTGCACTCCTGGGCTCAAGCAATCCTCCTGCCTTGGCCTTTCAAGTTGCTGAGATTACAGATGGGAGTCACCATGCCCAGACTATTTTTTTGGGAAGAGTCTCACTCTGTTGCCCCGGCTGGAGTGCAGTGGCACGATTTCGTCTCACCACAACCTCTGCCTCCGGGGTTCAAGCGATTCTCCTGTCTCAACCCCCCGAGCAGCTGGGTTTACAGGCGCTTGCCACCGTGCCCGTCTACCTTTTTGTATTTTTTGTAGAGATGGGGTTGGCCAGGCTGGTCTCGAACTCCTGACCTCAGGTGATCTGCCCACTTCAGCCTCCCAAAGTTCTGGGATTACAGGTGTGAGCCACCGTGCCTGGGTCCAGCATATTTTTTCTTCTTCTTTTTATTTTTGAGACGGAGTTTCGCTCTTGTTACCCAGGCTGGAGTGCAATGGCACAATCTCGGCTCACCGCAACATCCGCCTCCTGGGTTCAGGCAATTCTCCTGCCTCAGCCTCCTGAGTAGCTGGGATTACAGGCACGTGCCACCATGCCTAGCTAATTTTTTGTATTTTTAGTAAAGACAGGGTTTCACCATGTTGACCAGGATGGTCTCGATCTCTTGACCTCATGATCCACCCACCTCAGCCTCCCAAAGTGCTGGGATTACAGGCGTGAGCCACCGCGCCTGGCCTTTTTTCTTCTTTTTATTGACATATAATATGCAAACAGAAAAGTGCTTAAGGACGAGCATTCAGATCAAGACAAATAACTTCCTAACTTTTTTGGTCATGGAACTGATCCTTTGAGATCCCTTGTTGAAAGTCCAAGACCCCATCATCAGAAAAATACATAAATGTTTACTCATGTGCACACACACGCATATCAAAATCTGCAGGTTTAGCAGGTTCACAAACTGTAACTAGTCCAAGAACCCCTAGGAACAAGATGTCTTCAGGGCCCTAGTTGGGAGAGCTGAGTTCTACCTTCAGAGGTCATTCTGAGTGTTAGGCAGACAGGTGTTCACCAAGTAAACAGGGTGCAAGAGGACATTTCAGGCAAAGCTGCAGCCTGAACTAACACAAAGATGGGTGAAGGGTCATGGCCAGCAAGTTGGTTAGTGAAACCAAGGAATTAGTTTTGGGACTGTGTATGATTTTGATCAGAGATGAAGTTAGTGAAATAGTAGGAGTCTGATTATTAAGGGCTTTAAATGCTAAGAAAAGAAAAAGTACTTCACCCTGCATGCCCTGGGTGGCCACTGGAGGGCTTTCAACAAGAGTTATTGATGGATAACCAGAATTTTAGAAAAACCAGTCAGGTTGCAGTGTGGAAAATAGATTGTGGGGATAAGGGGGATAAGACCAGATGCAAAAGGGCTCTTTCTGAGATCAAAAGAGATGAGTCTGAACAGAAGCAGTGAAGGTAGGGGCCATGCACTGTGGCTCATGCCTGTAATCGCAGCACTTTGGGAGGCTGCGGTGGGATGATCTCTTGAGCCCAGGAGTTCCAGACCAGTCTTGGCAACATAGCAAGACACTGTCTCTCCAAAAAAAAAAAAAAGAAAAGAAAGAAAGAAATTAAAAACCAGCCAGGCATGGTGGCTTGTGCCTATAGGCCTAGCCCAGGAGCTTGAGGCAACAGTGTGCTACGATCATGAGACTGCACTTCAGCCTGAGTGACAGAGCGAGACCCTGCCTTTAAAAAAAAAAAAAAAAAAAAAGGCCAGGCGCATTGGCTCATGCCTGTAATCCCAGCACTTTGGGAGGCCGAGGCGGGTGGATCACGAGGTCAATAGATCGAGACCATCCTGGTCAACATGGTGAAACCCCGTCTCTACTAAAAATATAAAAAATCAGCTGGGCATGGTGGTACGTGCCTGTAATCCCAGCTACTCAGGAATTGCCTGAACCCAGGAGGTGGAGGTTGCGGTGAACCGAGATCATGCCATTGCACTCCAGCCTGGGTAACAAGAGTGAAACTCCACCTCAAAAAAAAAAAAAAAGACTGGGCATGGTGGCTCATGCCTGTAATCCCAGCACTTTGGGAGGCCGAGGGGGACAGATCAGGAGATCAGGAGTTCAAGACCCCCTGGCCAATATGGTGAAACCCCATCTCTACAAAAAGTACAAAAATTTAGCTAGATGTGGTTGCGCACACCTGTGTTCCCAGCTACTTGGGAAGCTGGGGCAGGAGAATTGCTTGAACCTGGGAGGTGGAGGTTGCAGTGAGGCCAACATTGTGCCACTGCACTCCAGCCTGGGTGACAGAGTGAGACTCTGTCTCAAAAAAAAAAAAGCAGCAATGAGGGTAGAAGAGGGAGTGAACACATCTTCATCCAGTCCTCCAGACTCACCTAAAAAGGTATTGTTATTCACTTAATTTTTACATAGAAACTCAAGGCTCTGAGAATTAGGTTCCTTGCCCATGGTCACCCAGCTAAGAAGTGATAAAGCCACAATTCAGAGCCAGCCTGTGCCATTTCAAATGCCCCATGTGTTAGCCAAGCTGGGCAGTGAGCACCTGGGCTTTCTCCACCTGGGTCAGCCACCTGCTGTGTAGGTAAGAGGAAGACTGAGTCCGAACAAACCTGGGGCAGAGGGTCAGGCCTGTGAGGGCTCCACTTCAATTCACATCCACCTTTCTTGCCTCTTACCCCAGGGCTTTCAGGAAATCGGGTCTGCCCCTGATCCTCTGTGAGGCTCTCTGGATCTCAGTTTCCTGGATGGGGCTGGAAGATCTCTCATTCCAGCAAGGACCTTCCAGCCTTAAAACCCAAGGACTCCTTGAGTCGGGGCAGTAGGGTGCAGTGGGGTGGCAATGGGTGGCATAGCTTCCGCATCTGCTTGGGCTCTGAGTTCGTTTTTTTTGTTTTTGTTTTTTTGTTTTTTTTGAGATGGAGTCTTACTCTGTCACCCAGGCTGGAGTGCAATGGCAGGATCTTGGCTCATTGCAACCTCCGCCTCCTGGGTTCAAGCAATTCTCTGCCTCAGCCTCCCAAGTAGCTGGGATTACAGACGTGTGCCACCACACCCGGCTAATTTTTGTATTTTTAGTAGAGATGGGGTTTCACCATCTTGGCCAGGTTGGTCGTGAACTCCTGACCTTGTGATCCACCCACTTCAGCCTCCCAAAGTGCTGGGATTACAGGCATGAGCCACTGCACCCAGCCTGAGTTTGTTCATTTTTGAGGAAGAAAAGAGTCTTGTTGTTTGTTTGTTTTTGTTTTTTTTTTTTTAAATCCACTGTAAGCATCATAAAAACTAAAATGCTGTTTCAGAGTTGGAAACCATCATCTTTCAAACCTCCTTTATCAAACCCTGGACCTGGGGAGCCAAGGCTGGAAGGCTGTCCCAGGACAGGGGTGGGAGAGGGGAGGGCGGAGGGTCCATCCCTGGACGCACCTTTTCTGCCATCTATTGGTCATCCTTGAAGTTGCAGAGTTCAGCTCAGAAGGCTGGGCAACCCCAAGGGGAATGAAGCTCCCTGGTGGTTCTGGCACCCCTGCAGTGGTTAGGGTGGGGAGAAGTGGCCTGGCTGATTAACTGGTAGCTAAACAGGTACAAAATTTCCCTCAAAGGGCTTTTTTTCCATGTCATATTTGCTTTGGTTTTCTGATCTGTAAAATGGGAGTAAGAATACCTACCCTGAGTGTTCTTTTGGTAGTTGATAATGGGATGGCAGTTTCCTAGCGCCCTTCCTTTCTAGAGTCTCATCCCCACTTGACTGGCTGACCCAAGAAGTTCATGCAAGAGGCATGGATTGGAGATCAGGATGAAGGCATCTTAGAATCTGTTAAGGGTCTGGGTGTGGTGGCCCATGCCTGTAATACTAGCAATTTGGGAGGTTGAGGCAGGAGACTCATTTGAGTCCAGGAGTTCAGGCCTGGGCAACACAGTAAGACTTCATCTTTTCAGAAAATTTTTTTCCAAATTACCCAGATGTGGTGGTGGGTGCCTATAGTCCCAGCTACTTGTGAGGCTGAGGTGGGAGGATCACCTGAGCCCAGGAGGTTGAGGCTGCAGTGAGCTGTGATGGTGCCACTGTACTCCAGCCTAGAATGAGACCTGTGTCAACAAGAACAACAAAAATAATCTGTTAAATGATGAATTCAGCAATTTGTTTGGGTCTGGATTTTCTTTTCTTCTTCTTCTTCTTTTTTTTTTTTTTTTGAGACACAGTTTTGCTCTGTTGCCCTGGTTGGAGTGCAGTGGTACAATCTCAGCTCACTGCAACCTCCACCTCCTGGGTTCAAGCGATTCTCCTGCCTTAGCCACCCAAGTACCTGGGATTACAGGAGCCCGCCACAATGCCCAGCTAATTTTTGTATTTTTTTTTTTTTTTTTTTTTTTGAGACAGAGTTTCACTCTTGTTACCCAGGCTGGAGTGCAATGGCGCTATCTCGGCTCACCGCAACCTCTGCCTCCCGGGTTCAAGCAATTCTCCTGCCTCAGCCTCCTGAGTAGCTGGGATTACAGGCAAGCGCCACCATGCCCAGCTACTTTTTTGTATTTTTAGTAGAGACAGGGTTTCACCATGTTGATCAGGATGGTCTCGATCTCTCGACCTCGTGATCAACCCGCCTCGGCCTCCCAAAGTGCTGGGATTACAGGCTTGAGCCACCGCGCCCGGCCCTAATTTTTGTATTTTTAGTAGAGACAGGGTTTCTGCAGTTGGCCAGGCTGGTCTCAAACTCCTGACCACAGGTGATCCACCCGCCTCAGCCTCCCAAAGAGCCGGGATTACAGGCGTGAGCCCCCATGCCTGGCCAAATGTCACCTCTTTAGAGAGGTCTTATATAACTCCCCAAGCTAAAGAATTCCCCTCCTTAAGCCAGGCATTGCTTTTGTATCACCTGTTTCCCCCATAGATGTGTCTCTTCCTGAAATTATCTTATGTACGTCATTGCTTACTGGTTTATTGCCAAACCCTGTAAGCTCTGGGAGAACAGAGGTTTGCATGTCTTTGTTGCTACTGTGTCCCCAGTGCAGAGAATGGTGCTTGGCCTAATAGGGAATGAATTCACAGGCAGGTGATGATGTGAAGGCCCCTCCCTCAGCCCTGGCTCATGGCCCTCCAGTGACCTCTCTTTGCCTCCTCCCCTTTCAGTGAGCATGGAGTTCGGGCGGGCCGTGTGGCTCCGCTTCCACCCGTCGGCCTATCCCCCCTGCCCTCACCCAAGCTTCGTGGCGCACTTGGGTGGCGTGGCTGTGGGCATCACCCTGGGCGTGGTGGTCCTGAGGAACTACGAGCAGAGGCTGCAGGACCAGTCACTGTGGTGGATTTTTGTGGCCATGTACACTGTCTTCGTGCTGTTCGCCATCTTCTGGAACATCTTTGCCTACACCCTGCTGGACCTGAAGCTGCCGCCTCCCCCCTGAGGGCTGGAGGCCCAAGGTAGGGGAGGGGAGAGAAAAGCAGCACCCACAGGGAGCACCTGCAAGTTTTTTTCTCATCACCAGCTCAGCGAGGCCAGGCAGGCAAGGACAGAAGACTCTGGGCCACTGAATTGTTTGTGTTTAGATTTGGACAGTGGATACCTTTTTCTGAAAGGCACCTGGTGGAGGAGGAGATGTGGCTACTGTGGTTTTTCTAGGCTGCTCTGATGACGTGGGGCCAGGGTGAAGGTCTGGGTTGGGGGAGACTGGCCCTCCCTCCCCTGGGCTGGGCTTGTTCCACAGGGCCAGGGGTGCCCCTCAGTGCAGCAGCGTCTTCCTCATCCTGTACCCTCAGAGACCCTGAGAGACGTGGGAAGACCCGAGGGTTGTTGTGGCCAGGCATGGCCTCTCTCTAGCCATGTGGTGTCCCCTCCACAGCTGCTGGGTCTGGAGCTCTGATAAAGAGGACCTACTGGACATGTCAGCTGTGACCTGGCTGAAACCAGGGTGCCCTCCTGGGCCGGTCAGTGGGCACTGGGGCATGGTCTGTTGTGCCAGGGCTGGGCAGAGCAGGGAGGCTGCAGGCTCCAGGCCCCCTCTTGCCCTGGGGGTACCCAGTGAGAGGGATCCAAGCAGGGGGAATAAATGTCATCCCAAATCCCACCCCGGAGAAGACAGACCGAGGACCAGCTTTAGACTTCTCCCTCCCTTTCTTCCAGAATGTTGGCATCTCACACTGGTGCGCCAGCCTCTGTGCCCAGCCTTGTTTTAGGGTCTTTTTCTTTGCTTTTGCTGCCCTGACCCTACTTTGTGCCTCTCTTTGGTTATGGAGACAGTGTTTTGATATGTGTTTGCGTGTGTGTGTGCATACGTGCGTGTGTGTGTGCGCGTGCGTGCGTGATGGGAAAGGCAATTGAGGCAAGTCAGTCCCTGCAGAGAAGGCACAGCAGATGCAGGGGGTCATGTGGGTGTCGGTGCGAGGTGGGAGACTATGGTGTGCTGTGGTTGCTGACTGCCCTTGCCTGACAAAGCCTGTCCCCTTCTTTCCCATCTCCTGTCCCTTCCACACCTGCCCCTGAGCATCACTGACCGGCAGCAGAATGGCCCTGCTGGAGGGAGAGCTCAGCCCTTCTGGGATCCCCAGGTGCTGAGGTTTGCCAGGTTCAGCTCTTGTTTCCCTCTGGGATGGCCTTTGTATCCAAAAGATTTCCGTCCTGTCTCCCTTGGGAGAGAAAGAGCTTTGGGGGCTCAAGAGAGGCTGGAGTAAGGACTGTTGAGGCCACATGTCCATTTGAGTTGGGACAGGAGGCTATAGGAAGAGGAATTCCAACTTAGGTGGAAAACTTTGCCTCGGGACAATTGCTGGGTGCGTGGTTGAACCTGAGTGGGAGGGCAGCCAGTAAGCTCAGAGACTTGGCTGCAGGAGAGAACATGGCCATTATCACATCCACCCCACCCTATCTCACAGGTGAAGAAATGAGATTGCAGGAATGACCCTCCTAACAGGAGCTGGTGCAGGCCCCGAATGGAGGGCATGGGGATGATCTTTGACAAAAAAATGATACTCCCTTTATTGGGCTCTTGGAATTCTTAACCACTGACAGCCCAAAAGAACAAAGAATATCAGGCCTGGGAGGAGGCAGAGGGGCTGGGCGCATCCAGAAACAGAGGCAGGAGCATGGGGACTGTCTTCCTCCAGCCTCATGCCCATCCCAGCCCTTGAGCATCGCGAGGTCCAGGGTTACTCAGACTGGGCATTTGGGGTCTTGGGGAATGGTGGCTTCCCATCCCGGTGAGTACATGTAAAAGGGCTCACTCACTCACTGGCAGGCTAGGCTCAGCCTTTCCCCATCTTGGCCCAACGCTAACTAGCTTGCCCTGGCCTCATGTATAGCTTCCCTGGCCAGTGTGGTGCTGTGGGTGGCAGTCTGAGGCACTATGGGGGCATGTCTTGGGTGGAGTTGCGTCAGCCTGGGCTGTCTCGTGTGTGCCCTGCCTGCTGTTCTCTGCCCTAGTGATAGAAAGGTGTAGATGGAAGAGTCAGCACCTCAGAGGAGGAGGATCTGCGGCTGTGGAGCTGGGCTCAGGGAAAATCAGGGGAGGATGCAGAAGGAGCCAGGACGTTGCTGCCTCTGCCCTGGGCTGCAGCTACAGTAAGCCTAAGAGCCATGTGGTCCCTTCCTGGAGGGTGGAGAATCCCCTTCAGATTCCTGTCCTGGCCTCTGGGGCTTCTGGGGTGTGGGTGGAATGAGCAGAGTGCCACCTCTGTCTGGTATGACCTGGAGAGGGGGCTTCCTTTCTTAGGGGCAAGAAGGCAATGAACTAGAAGACTCTAGAAAGCCCTCAAAGAAGCGCTGAGTTCCCTCGGGGCCTCCCACAAAAGCTTGTTACGAGAAAGACAGTGGAGGCAGAATCGTGTCTCCCACCATGTTAAGTGTGTCCTCTGCTACGAGGGACCCTCATCTACACCTTAGACCAGCAGCCCCAGCCCTTCCCTGTCAGGGCACCCACCTCCACCACCTCTTCCAACCATGACTTCTAAGCAGAGCCACAAGCTGAAGTCATAGGGTCACTTCAGCAGACCCAGGCCTCTCCTCAGGTCAGGAGGCAGCTGTATGGTCAGAGGGGTTCACTCGGTGGCATCTGGCCTTCTCCTCAGCAGGTCCCACCACCCTCCTGGTAGCACTTCCCCTGGCCAAGGCTGGCCATGTCTTCCCTGCCTCCTTCCTTATCCCAGTGGCTGCTGCCTGGAGGGTGGTGTATATATCTTCAGGCTGGTGGAGGTAGGTCAGCCTTTTATCCACAGCATACAGAAACTAAAAGCTGGGGAATCCCCAAACAGCAGCCGTAGACTCACTGGCTCACTCATTAAACGGGAGAGGAATCACAGAAACTGGGGAAGGGAAAACAAACCTTCAAAGGAGAAATTTCGCTTTAATGACACTATTCATCATTCATTTTTTAATTAGGAAAAGCTCCCTAATGAGGCTCGTTTGCCAGCTAATAGGACTCTTGATTTTGATGAGAACCATTCTTGCCCAGAGGATTAGGGGAGCCACTGCTCCCCAAGCCAAGGTCTTCCCCCAGTGTCCAATTTAATCTGCAAATACGTAATGCCGATTCCCTGCGCGCCCTGAAAGCCCTTTCCTGGCATCACTCACGTTGCTTCCGGTGCTGGCTGGAAAGCACGGTTCTCCTCTGCCTTAAAAACAGTGCCCCTCCGTGAACTGCCCCTCCGAGGACTTGCGTAAGTGGAAAAAACAAAACACAAACTGCAATGTTTGTTTCTAAGTATTTTTGTATTGTGTACATTCTGTATATTTTTGTTGTAACATATTATTTGAGCACAGATTCCATTAAAGATTTTTTTTTCCAAGCCACTGGTTATTCAGGAAGTGACCTGAAGGGCTGGTAGTAGGGCCTGTTTCATCTGGGTCTGGGTCAGGGTGGGTGGGAGAGGACGAACAGCAGCAGTGGTGGATGTAGGATGTCTATAAAATACAGATCGGGGCATCAGTGCTTGGCAACAGTCTGTAGCTCTGTGCGTCTTACTTTTTTCAAATCACTGAACTATTTTGGGTGGTTGATAAAAGCTATGATTTCTCTTTCCATAAAAATGCATATGTACTGACTGGGTGCAGTGGCTTACACTTGTAATCTCAGCACTTCAGGATGCCGAGGAGGGCAGATCATGAGGTCAAGAGATTGAGGCCATCCTGGCCATCATGGTGAAACCCTTGCCTCTACTTAAAAATACAAAAATGAGCTAGGTGTGGTGGCGCATGCCTGTAGTCTTAGTTATTCAAAAGGCTGAGGCAGGAGAATCGATTGAACCCAGGAGGCAGAAGTTGCACTGAGCCGAGATCATGCCACTGTACTCTAGCCTGGTGACAGAGTGAGACTCTGTCTCAAAAAAAATGTGTATGTATGGGCCCAGTATGGTGGCTGTTAGCTGTAATCCCAGCACTTTGGAAGGCCGAGGCAGGTGGATCACTTGAGGTCAGGAGTTCGAGACCAGCCTGGCCAACATGGTGAAACGCTGTCTCCACTAAAAATAGAAAAATTAGCCAGGCAGTAGTGGTGCGTGCCTGTTGTCCCAGCTACTCGGGAGGCTGAGGCAGGAGAATTGCTTGAGCCTGGGAGGCAGAGGTTGCAGTGAGCCAAGATCCTGCCACTGCACCCCAGTCTGGGTGACAGAATGAGATCCTGTCTCAAAAAATAAATAATAATAATAATAAAGGCAAGCTCCTTGGAGAGCCAGAAGCTGTTGAATTCTTTTTGCCTTTACCTCCTCTCCCTTTTTTACTTTCCTGGTTCTTCCCTGTGTTAATACTAGATTCTCATTCTTCAATAAATTAATAAGGCACTTCCCAATAATAAGGTAATTAAGAAATGAAGGGTCGGGCACGGTGGTTCACACCTGTAATCCCAGCACTTTGGGAGGCCAAGGCGGGTGGATCACTTTAGGTCAGGAGTTCAAGACCAGCTTTGCCAACATGGAGGAACCCCATCTCTCCTAAAAATACAAAATTAGCCAAGCATGGTGGTAATTGCCTGTAGTCCCAGCTGCTTGGGAGGCTGAGGCAGGAGAATCGCTTGAGAGGTGGAGGTTGCAGTGAGCTGAAATTGTGCCACTACACTCCAGCCTGGCAACAGAGTAAGACTCCTGTCTCAAAACAACAACAAAAACCACATTTAGGCACTTTGTTTTTACATGTATATGTGTGTGTGTGTATATATATATATATATATATATATGTATATATATATGTGTGTGTATATATATGTGTGTGTATATATATGTGTGTGTATATATATATGTGTGTGTGTATATATATGTGTGTGTATATATGTGTGTGTATATATATGTGTAAATATATATGTGTGTGTGTGTATATATATATATATATGTATATATATATATATATAATGTAATTTGTGTGTGTGTGAGATGTAGTTTTGCTCATTGCCCAGGCTGGAGTGCAATGGCGTGATCTCAGCTCACCACCACCTCTGCCTCCTGGGTTCAAGCAACTCTCCTGCCTCAGCCTTCTGAGTAGCTGAGATTACAGGCATGTGCCACCACACCCAGCTAATTTTATATTTTTAATAGAGATGGGATTTCTCCATGTTGGTCAGGCTGGTCTTGAGCTTCCGACCTCAGGTTATCAACCTTCCTCGGTCCCCCAAAAGTGCTGGGATTAAAAGTGTGAGCCACCACACCTGGCCTATTTCTTTATATTTGAGACACGGTTTCACTCTGTTGCCCAGGTTGGAATGCAGTGATATAATCATAGCTCAGTTACTTTGAGCTCCTGGGCTCAAGTGATCTTCCAGCCTGAGCCTCCTGAGTAGCTGGGAAGACACATACCAACAGATCCTGCTAATTTTATGTTTTGTAGAGATGGGGTTTCACTGTGGTGCCCAGGCTGCTCTCCAACTCCTAGGCTCATGCAGTCCTCCTGCCTTGGCCTCTCAAAGTGCTGGGATTACAGGCCTGAGCCACCATACCCAGTCACATTTAAGAACTTTAGCATTTTAGAGAACTGGGCTGCTGTCTCAGACCTCCAAGTGAAAAGACTTCATTGAAGCCACCAGGGTTTCCATTAACTGAGAAGACACACAGTTAGGAAATGTGGTCCTAGTAACTGCCTTTTATTTCCAAGAAGCCCACAGCCTTTCCCGGCACCTAGTCGGAGGGATCCTCTGGTAGAGGACAGGCATTCTGTCATGGTGAATAATGAATGAGAGTGAAAGAAAGTGACTTGGGTTATTAAGTTCTATGGGTATAACTCTACTGGACAATGAATAAAACATTGTGAGGAAAATTGCTCTTAGATTCTGCTTGATGCCTCCTCCTGCAAGAAGAAGAAAGGTATATCCCAGCAAGTGATTTGATTTTCTTCAACAAATGCCTTAGTATAACAAGTATAATTTCCTCACAAACTTGTTGGGGATACAAATGTTAGGCCTGAGGATTGAGCTCATTACATAAAAATAATTGTCTTGATGAGAAGCTAAGTTTTATTATTATAATTACAAATTAATTACAGATGAACTAAAGCCATTTTTCATACATGACAAATATACATTTCCTCTGTGTATATGGCTCACAAGTAATATACATAAATGTATTCCATGTCTGAACAAATCCTTTTTAAAACTTTAAAAGCCATGGCCAGGTGCAGTGGCTCACGCCTTTTTTTTTTTTTTTTTTTTTTTTTTGAGACGGAGTTTCGTTCTTGTTACCCAGGCTGGAGTGCAATGGCGCGATCTCGGCTGACCGCAACCTCTGCCTCCTGGGTTCAAGCAATTCTCCTGCCTCAGCCTCCCGAGTAGCTGGGACTACAGGCACGCACCACCATGCCCAGCTAATTTTTGTATTTTTAGTAGAGACGGGGTTTCACCTTGTTGACCAGGATGGTCTCGATCTCTTGACCTTGTGATCCGCCCGCCTCGGCCTCCCAAAGTGCTGGGATTACAGGCGTAAGCCACTGCGCCCGGCCTGGCTCACGCCTATTAATCCCAGCACTTTGGGAGGCCAAGGCAGGTGGATCACCTTAAGTCGGGAGTTCAAGACTAGCCTGACCAACATGGAGAAACCCTGTCTCTTCTAAAATTACAAAAAATTAGCCACTCATGGTGGCACACGCCTGTAATCCGTTACTCAGGAGCCTGAGGCAGGAGAATTGCTTGAACCCGGGAGGTGGAGGTTGTGGTGAACTGAGATCACAAAATTGCACTCTAGCCTGGGCAACAAGAGCAAAACTCCATCTCAAAAAGAAAAACAAGAAAACTTTCAAAGCCAAGATAGCTTATTAAAATTTGAATACAGTACATGTTTCTAGTCATGAGCTCTGTGGTTTCTTCTCATGACCAAGATATTCAGTTCCATGACCCCATTTTCCTTGTCTTCAGTAGTGACATACTTCTTTAAAAAAAAAATTTGTCGGCCGGGCGCGGTGGCTCAAGCCTGTAATCCCAGCACTTTGGGAGGCCGAGGCGGGTGGATCACGAGGTTGAGAGATCGAGACCAACCTGGTCAACATGGTGAAACCCTGTCTCTACTAAAAATATAAAAAATTAGCTGGGCATGGTGGCGTGTGCCTATAATCCCAGCTACTCAGGAGGCTGAGGCAGGAGAATTGCCTGAACCCAGGAGGCGGAGGTTGCGGTGAGCCGAGATCGCGCCATTGCACTCCAGCCTGGGTAACAAGAGCGAAACTCCGTCTCAAAAAAAAAAAAAAAAAATTTGTCACACTTTTTTTTTTTTTTAAAGTAAGACTACCAGAGGCTGGACACAGTGGCTCACTTTGGGAGGCTGAGGTGGGTGTTCCCAAGTCTTGGGCTGCTTGAGCCCAAAACTTTAAGACCAGTCTGAGCAACATAGTGAGACCCCATTTCATTAAAAAAAAAAAAATGTGGCCAAGTGCAGTGGCTCATGCCTGTAATCCTAGCACTTTGGAGGCCGAGGCGGGTGGATCACGAGGTCAAGAGATTGAGAACATCCTGGCCAACATGGTGAAACCCTGTCTCTACTAAAAATACAAAAATTAGCTGGGTGTGGTGGCACGCACCCGTAGTCCCAGGTACTCTGGAGGCTGAGGCAGGAGAATCCCTTGAACCCAGAAGGCAGAGGTTGCAGTGAGCCGAGATGACGCTACAGCACTCCAGCCTGGGCGACAGAACTCCATCTCAAAAAAAAAAAGTATACATATAAAATAAAACTATCATACAGAGCTATGTAATGTAGTAAGCCTACATTACAAAAACATGTACAAACACACAGAGAATATATAAGTACACCTTGCATATGTCCATAAATGATTTGAAGCAGGTAACACTTTTGCTTTTAAATGACATTTACAACACAGACTCTTGAATGGCAAGAATTGGAAAATGAAGTATTTTTTCAGACTTAAAATGTTGATATGTTAATGTTGCTGACTTAAAAAAATGATTTCCAAGTGGACAACCAACTACATTGGGAAAAGAGAGTCAGATTCAATGATAGTGTCGTAAAATTGCTGGTTTTCCTTAATCACTCTGACTGTATTTATTTATTTTGAGATGGAGTCCCGCTCTGTCGCCCAGACTGGAGTGCAGCGGCACAATCTCAGCTCACTGCAGCCTCTGTTTTATGGGTTTGTGCTTCTCTGAGGGAAGTGAGAACACAAGACTTCTGTTCTTCAAGCTATTCTCCTGCCTCAGCTTCCCAAATAGCTGGGACTACAGGCACACACCACCAGGCCAGGCTAATTTTTTTAACTTTAGTAGAGATGGGGTTTTACCATATTGGTCAGGCTGGTCTCAAACTCCTGACCTCAGGTGATCCTCCCGCCTCAGCTTCCCAAAGTGCTGAGATTCAACATGCACCA